ATTGACCGTTCTACCCTGTGGCAAGAACTCATGATGCACCACGCCCCTGCAATCGAAGAAAACTGTAAGCAAAACCTTCACATTCGACCGAACTTGGCGCGCTTTTTTCGGTCTTGGCTCGTGCGGCAGCTTCCATTGGGATGATTGAGCTTTGGTTTCCACGTCATAACCATAAACCCATGAATCATGATTCGTCACCAGTTATGACCCTCTGGAGCAAATTTTGGTCGTCGCGGACAGAGTCCAACAGCTCCGTAGCAATGTTAATGCGATGCTGTTTTTGGTCGATAGTGAGCAATTTTGGTACGAATTTCGCGGCGACCCGTCTCATGCCCAAATCATTGGTAAAAATCGAATGGCACGAACCAATCGATATGTTTAGGTCCTTAGCAACTTCTCTAATGGTGATTCGACGATTGGCCAATACTATTTTCTTCACTTCATCAATGTTTTCGTCTGTTATTGACGTGCTCGGGCGTCCGGCACGCTCTTCGTCGTTCACATCTTCTCGGCCCTCTGAGAACATTTTGTACCACCGATAAACGTGGCTTTGGTTCAAGGTAGCTTCACCATATGCCACAGTCAACATTCGGAATGCGTCCGCGCACTTAATTTTGTTCTTCACACAAAATTTGATACATATTCTTTGATCCATTTCTTGGAATAGGCAAAAATCGAAGACGAGTCAAAACACGTCCAAGCAAAATAGCTGTCAAAAATTAATTGAACATTCAAAATGGCCGAACTTGTCGGCATGAGTGAGGGACATGAGTACCAACATAACACCACAAAAAAATCGAAAATCGAATATACGTAGCCCGCGGAAATTCAAAAATCGCGATACTTTTTGAACAGACCTCGTATCTCATTTGGCCAATAACGTATCGACAGCACCGATAAAAAGAATAGCAACTGTTTAGAAATTTAAAAACTCTGTATCTATTCAGGCGAATTAAGGCCTGTGTCCATGATGCTAGTACTTGGTCCAAGTTCTAGTTTTGAGAAATGCGTAGCCCATCAACTTGCAGCTTTTGTGGAACAGCTATATTGATTGGCTACATATTTCGCGGAATTAGAACTTGGACCAA